CTACTAGTACTGTATGTTAAAAAACAAAAAGATTGAAAACATTCAAAATAACAATACTCTTAAAGAGAAAACAAAATTGAATTCTATCTCTTTCATAAAAAATAAAATAAGAATTTTATCAGACAGTCATGGAAGAAGCATAAAAAAACTTGCTAAACAAAAATATTAAACATGATGAATCATTTGAAGTTTATAGTTCTGTAACACCAAATGGACAATGAATGAGGCCATCCGTGACTTTCGTGAGAAGATAGACCGCCTGGAAGAGAGCGTGTGCAATACCACAGGACACGTCGTCGTGGGTGGGGATTTTAATGCTAGGGCTGTCGAGTGGGGAATGATCCTCACAAATTCCCGGGGCAAGTACATTCTGGACTTTGCTGCCAGAGCCGGACTCGTTGTCGACAACGAGGGCAACACGCCAACTTTCCGGCGCCCTGGGATGCGGGGAACGATCCCAGACATTACCCTTGCATCTGAGTCTCTTTTGCCAAGGATCAGAGCCTGGAGAGTCCTGGAGGATTACACGGCCAGTGACCAACAGTACATAATTTTTGACATCCTGGATGGTCACCAGAGACAAGTGGCAGCGTTTCGTCAAGTGCCCGTTCGATGGAACATTAAAAAACTGGACGTGGCAAAATTCAATGGAGCCATCCTACGAAGAACGCCGGTGGTTCATTCTGCAACTGGCGTGCCCCACGCAGAGGCGTTAGTTGCATCCACGATGAAACTGATTGTCTCGGCTTGCGATGAGTCTATGCCTCGCAGGAGATACCAGTGCAATAAGCGTCCTGTGTACTGGTGGACTGCCGAGATTGCGGAATTGCGTCGAGCGGCATTGAGGGCCAGAAGACTTGCTACCAGGGCTAGAGAACCCCTAGACAGACGGCGTAAGTCGGAGGCTTATAGGGTGGCTAGGAGGTATCTTCGTCGAGCCATCAATCGGAGTAAACGCAGTTGCTGGGATAAATTAAGGGACGATGTTGATTCCAACCCGTGGGGCCTGGGTTACAAACTTGTAACCAAGAAACTTGGAACCCGCTCTCCACCTTCCGTCATGGACAGGGTCACTATGGAGAGGATAGTCGAGTCCCTTTTCCCGGCTCACGCGTTGCGCCCACTGCGGGATTATGGAAGGGTGGACGACGTCCCACTTTTCAGCCCTGAAGAGCTGGTGGCGGCCGTCATATCCCTGAAGAACAGCAAGGCTCCTGGTCCCGATGGGGTGCCCGGTGAAGTCCTCAAGAAGGTTTTGACTACCAACCCCTTGATCCTTTTGAGCATGTATAACGCCTGCCTGGTTGAAGGGGTTTTCCCCTTGTGCTGGAAGACAGCTAGGCTTGTGCTTGTTGGGAAGGGCAAGGGAGACCCAGATCTGCCATCCTCTTACAGACCTCTGTGTATGTTGGATACGGCGGGCAAAGTCCTTGAGAAATTGATCCGTTCCCGGCTAAATTCAGCCGTTGTCTCTGCGGGGGACCTCTCCCCTCGTCAGTATGGATTCAGGACGGGGCGATCAACGATTGATGCGATTGAGGAGGTGAAGCAAGCCGTGATGAGAGCTGAGGATTTTACCCACTACTCTCGCAGGGTTGTGCTGCTCGTAACGCTCGATGTGCGAAATGCATTTAATTCGGCGAGGTGGTGCGACATGCTGGATGCTCTGGAGAACACCTTCCACGTGCCGGCATACCTCATGCGCATCATAGAGGATTATCTCCGGTTTCGCCTCCTAACGTATGACACTGCGGAGGGCCCGCGGACGATGAGTGTCACTTCTGGTGCTGCCCAAGGTTCCATACTCGGCCCAGACCTCTGGAACGTCGCTTATGACAGCCTTCTGAGGTCTGAAATGCCTGAGGAAACAGTCTTGGTTGGGTACGTAGCGTTGAGCTGGCTCAGCTAAAGCTAAACCGAGTTATGCGTACCATAAACGCATGGATGGCAGACCACGGTCTCTCGCTTGCTCTGAGCAAAACCGAGATCGTGATTTTGACAAAAAAACGGATTGACACCATCGTGCCGTTGAGGGTGGGAGCCGTCGAGGTTCAAACTGTTCGTTCTGCCAAGTATCTTGGGGTCATGGTAGACAGCAAGCTTAGCTGGCGGGATCAGATCTTCCGTACAGCGGACAAGGCCGCTAGGGTGGTTTCTTCTCTTAGCCGGTTGATGGCCAATGTCGGAGGGCCTCGGTCCAGTCGTAGAAGGCTGTTAATGTCTTCGGTCCAGTCCGTACTCTTGTACGGTGCGGAGGTGTGGGCAGACGCTCTAAATAGCAGGATGCGGCTCGCCCGAGTGCAGCGTCAGGCAGCACTGAGGGTAGCATCTGCCTACCGAACAGTGTCCGAGCCCGCCGTCCTGGTGATTGCTGGAGTCATCCCCGTCAAACTTTTGGCGGCGGAGAGAAAGGCAATTTACCGGCGCCGTGGGGAGGACGAGGCACGAACAGAGGAACGCACCCGCACCTACCAGCTGTGGCAGGAGGGCTGGGAACAGGAGACACGGGGACTCTGGACCAGGCGACTGATACAGCAAGTCAAACCTTGGGTTGATCGGCGGTACGGAGAGGTGGACTTCTACCTCACCCAATTTCTGACGGGACACGGCTTTTTCCGGTCGTACCTGTTCAGGATGGGCAAAGCCGTGTCACCCGACTGCATATACTGCCCAGGCATTCTTGATGACGTGGAACATACATTTTTCCACTGCCAGCGCTGGGAAAGGCCCCGCCTGGAGGCTCAACAGTTAATAGGACTGCTGTCGGTGGACACGGTCATACCGATTATGACGGAGGGTGAGGACAATTGGACCTGTGTGTCACATTATATCCAGGGTATTCTCCGCGCCAAGAAGATCGACCTTGACCGGGATGCGGTTGTAGGTCATTAAGAATCGAAATGCCAGAAACGGTGCGAGCCCTGAGGGCTTAGGTCACATGTTGGCCTGACTTGAAGTAATGTGACAAACAATTCCAGGTCTGTGTCCAACAGAGTAGAGGGGGTTTTGTAGTGAGTAGTCTGACAATTTTCAGGAGTCTCACACTACAGGCTGGCTACCTGTGTGCGTAAAAGCATTTTCCCTCCTCTCCCTAAAAAAAAAAAAAACACCAAATGGAAAAATGGTCCAAATTTTAAGTACTGAAAATAGTTTTGACTATAATAAAAATACCCCCGCCGCAGCAAACCTGCAGACTAAGCAAATTTCCATATACACAGCTGGAATTCCACTAAATTGTTCCCTTAAAATTGTCAGATTTATTTCCTATTTAAACATCATTAATATTAATGAGTACTTAAGTTTGCTGCTACAGGGAAGAAAATAGGGGGTTTTTATTGAGATATTAATAGTTCAGTATGAAGTAAACAAAATTTCAAAATTTCATTAATATATGTCCATACACAAGCAAGCTACAAACACTGTATTTATTCTCCATAAGAATAACATGGTAATTTTAAATTTACATTATTTTGCGATTTTTCCGTAACCGTTAGGCATGCAACAATGCTTCAATATACTAAATTATTTGTTTTTTTGAGCTCTACAAAATGGTTTAGAAAGAAATTGCAAAATGTTATGTTTTCAGGGTGAAAAATTAGAAAAACCCACTTTTACCCCATGAAACCCCCCATAAACCCCTGTTCCCATAGTCCGATCATGCTGGTTCGCGAACTCGTTCAAATAAATGTAGGTTTACACGTTTATACCAAATTTCATCAAAATCGGACCATTTTTGCTTGAGTTATCGCGCTAACGGACACATATATAAATATATATATATATATATATATATGAATTTGAACGGATGGTGTTTTTGGCCTCTGGGGACCTCAAAACGAAAAACTAAATCGGTCCCGGGTGCAGATCTTACCATGAGACCTACGGTAATAGCTTATTCCCTATATGGGAAATTCGCTAAAAGTATGGATAAAAATGATTTTATAATAATTATGTGTGGAACAAATTTCATTTGCTTAGAATTAAATATTGATGATTATTTCAAAAACATTGAAGAAAGAATAAGAAGATTATCTTACACAAATGTTTGTATTATTGGCCTACCTTGGAGATACAATTCACCAATGCTGAACAAAAAAATATCAACAATAAATTAAGAGGTTCATGAATTGACTATTTTACATGAACATACAAAGTTGTTCACATATCTCACGCTCCTTTTACACAAACCACGGACTCCACTTCAATAGAAAGGGTAAATTAGAGCTTACCAAATTAATAACCAATTATATCTATAACAATAAATTTGAATCAGTTATCAAACAAATTCCTGTTAGAATAACCGAAATAAATATTTTTTTAGAGAAATGTCAAAACAAAAGACATATAGTTTAACAAATATCAGCAGTAAAAACCAAGTTGTACAGACAAATTCTAGTAATCTTAAAGTTATGCATCAAAATATTAATGGTTTATTAGAAAAAATTGACATTCTTGAAATTGTTTAATTATTTTCAAATTAAAACCACGCCAATCCTGTAAAAAAATATTTAAAAATTACCAATTTATGACCTTTTACTCAATTTGTATTTATAAAACATTACTATTTTTAAAGAACAATTTTGAGAAATTCTGGAAAAATGATGAATTATGTGAGAAGAATTATGATTTGAGAAAATTACAAACATTTTATTCTACTTTCCACTAAACAAGGTTTTATGAAAAACATGTTTATTACAACGGAAGAAAATTATCTAACAAACTACCAACTGATATTCAAAATTTAAAATTAAAAGAATACAAAAGAAAATTAAAACAAATCCTTACTGAAAATCCAATCTACTCTATTGAAGACTTCAATGAAAAATGTATCAAAATTTAAAGAGTTGTATTTAATAGCTTACCTAATTGTACTGTCGATACAATTTATATTGTCAAGACAATAAAGTATTTATTTATTTAACCTTGTAACATGAGGATGGAATGCCTAGTTCTATCAATAGTGTCTAAGCTAATATCTAATATTAGTCTTATGTTGGCAGATGACTGGAGATAATTCAATGACAGAAGAACCTCCTCCTTCAATATTTTCACTGCCTATTGAAGTGTTACAAGTCATTGGTGAATATTTAAGTCCTCGAGATCTGTTGGCTGTGTCAGCAACATGTCGTCACTTAAGATCTGTGGTGAACGTTAATCTTCTGTGGCAAAAATACACAGGAGATGGAAGCATCAGTCGTGGTCTGGACAATGTAGTGAGTGTTGTCAAGCCGAAATATAAGAATCCGCATACTACGAGTTTGGAAAACCTTTGTGAACAGAGGTTTCATTTTTTAAAACAAAGTAGATTATTGAATAATATATATAATAATAAATATATACCACATTCAATACATTTTAAGGGATACCTGTCTGATTTAGATACAGCGAAACCAGTAAATAGCCGCCAAATAACATATGGGGGTAAATATTTGTTTTCCCTTTCTTATTGTGAAGTTAGGATTGATGTAACTGAAGTAATCACTATTTTCGACTTGGAAAATGATTTAAAGGTTTTAAAGACTGTAGACATTGCTCCCCCTCCAGAGTCATATTATATTATTGCATGGGTTCAGGTATGTGGAGATAAACTGGTTTTGCAAAGAGATGAGTGGGTTGATGCGTATCATATCAAACTGCCAGAGTCCTTTGAACGAGTATATTCTATTAACATTAGTGGACATGGGACTCTAGAGATAGCTGGAACATTGGTAATAGACAAGTTTTTGTTTGTTGAGAACATTACCAAGTGTGTAATCAATGTCTGGGACTTGTCTGATGGTTGTCAGTGCAGTGATCTTAAGCCTCAAATTAAGTACAGCAACTTGAAAATGATAGGCTATTCCCATAGTGAAATGTTATTGCTTTTACTAACTGATATTCATATACAATCAGGAGCATTATGTGATCCTCATTTACTTGTCTACAATGTCAAAGTACAAGGTTATTCAACTTTCAACCTGGTTTTGGAACCAGAGTTGTTCAAATGTGATCAGATCTTTCATTCAATTGTCAATGGTTTTATTGATAGTAATTATGTTGTGTTATCTACTTTAACTCATAATGGCAGCTGGAGATCAACAATAAATGTTTATGACAGTAAAACATCTTCACAAACAGCTACAAAATCAATACAAGAAACACAAAATATTGAATATGCTAAAATGATTGATGGATATTTTCTCTTGCCATCAGCAGAAAGCATTGATGTATTGAGTTTAAAAGACTTAAAAACTGTTTGGAAGATAAACATTAAGGGATTTCTGTTTTTGGATGTATTGTGCTTCTCTTCTCTAAGTGCAATAATTGTTGTCACTAGCTTTGATAATGTAGAATTTTGGAACTTACATAAAAGAAAAAAAGTTCTTCATCTGCCTGAAATTTCAGTTGTCACATTAGACGACACTTGCACAAAAATTATAATACATGACATAAAAGCTGATAAATTGGCAGTCCATTCTTATTGGTAAAATATGTTTAGTAAACTGCGCGTTTGTACAGACTGCATGTATGTTTAGGTAGAAAATATGGTAATTTTTGTGGTTATTTACAGTACCTATTTACATTACCATTAACAGATGTCTATGTTTTTAATACACCCACTAAGTTTTTTTTTTTATTGAATAGATTTACTTCCTACATAGTAAGAAATACTTGCAAAAGAGGGAGGTTGCTTTCATTGTAACTCCTTTTAGCAAATTTCCCATGTGGGGAATAAGCTATTACCATGTTGGCATAGTAAGCCCTAGACCTGAGACCGATTAATTTTGTTTGTTTTTATGTCCCCAGAGGCCAAAAACTATATCCGTTACAATTTCTGCAATGTAAGTTTATATATGTGTGTGTGTCTGAAAAATGATAACTCATGTCATTTTGGCCTGGTTTTTTATTAAATTTTGCATGATGGTGCAGGGCTGGATACACTTAAATGAGTTTGGGAACCAATAAGGTCAAGTGAACAAAGTGTTATGGAGCTTTAAAAATTTTCTAAAATTTTTACTACAGCCATCATGTAGAGTAAAAAGAAAAATTAATTTTATACATTGAAGCGTTGTTGTACATACACAGAAGAACTAACAACAACAACACCACCCCCACTGAGGTGGATTTCTTTTTCAGACAAATGTCTGATTTCAATTTGGAGCTCTTGTTAACCCATTAGAGCCGACTTACAAGTGCTACTCTTGCGTATGCCGCCAGACTGAATTCCGACTTACTCGCCTGTACTCAAGTTTCATAACGCCACTAGTTTACATAGTTCAGTAAAAATTAAAAAATTCGATAGATCGCTCTTGAATTCACTTTTATACTTATTTGAGATTACAGCTGTTAGGACCTGAAATAGTTGTAGAGAGGCAAAAATTGACATAATGCGTGTATTAAATACATACTAGTGTACCTGTTGTTTGAAATCATGCAATTGTCAAGTACCGGTATTATACAAGAGTTATTTACTAACAACAGTCATAATTTTAATGAGTGCTCAAAGTCGAGGAATTGTCAAGTACCGTTACTATACAGGAGTTATTTGAAAACTAATACAGTAACGGTCATAATTTTCGATGAGTTTAAAAGACTGAACTCAAAGTTTATGAAACGAATGGAAATACTCACACTGTTAACCCTTTGAGTGCCACGCAACAATATATTGTTTTGCACAACACATCTGAAAAATACTTCACAACAATATATCGTCGTCGGTAGTCTTACCGAAAAATACATTGCAACGATATATCGGGCCGGCGCGACTTTCGATCATGTGAGTTTTAATGGGCATATCGGTTGACTCGGTTCTTGTTATAAAACAACGATGATTTCAATGGATTTCTCATATGATCGAAGCACAATATATCGTTCCATGCACTTTTGGGATGAAAATTTATACTTTTATCGATTTTTATTCTTGCGCACTACGCTTCGCCCCCACGGAAAGCCTGGAACTTTTCAGACATACTTAGTAAAAAAACTCTGACACTTTTCGGAGAGTACCAAAATAAATTTCTGGCACCCAAAGGGTTAATAACAGTTTGATATAATAAACAGTTGTAAATATATTTTTCAGAAGCTGGCCTGGTTTTAAGACGTGTTTTCTACAAATGTTTCCTGACCCGACATACCCATAGCTGTTACCAGTAAACATTTCTTGCATGTATTCATTTGATCTGACGTTAGGCAAGTTGTGACAACACCATGTGTATATTCTTCGTGTATTTATTTACTTCCAAAGTAGTTTGCATAGCAGAACTGACAAATATTATTAATTTCTCCAAGTGAGTGTATCTGGATCCCTAACTGTCACACCAGGTCTCTCTTCTTCTACTTTTCTCATCTCACACGCAATAAGATCTCTTATTAATATTGTCTCCTCCTCCTGTTTTCATTATTTCTTTTTGAACTCGAGGCATTTTCTGTTCTTGTCGAACACGAGGAAGTGTCTTGTCTATAACCTCCTGAATATTATAAACATCAATATTTACTCCCAAAAATGCTGTTGAGTTTATTTTGATAACCAGCTGTAGTTTGTTATGAAATTAGTTCTATGTAATTAGTCTTATGGGGGAAAATTGAACTTTGAGCGCGCCTCACCCCCTTAAGGGTAAGATTTTTTAAAATTCTAAAACCTTAATGCAAAAATACAAATTGACACACATTTTTAGACATCTCAAACGTTGCAATTAGTCCACAAATAGGGGAGGAGTAGTGTTTACAAAAAGGGCCTAACGTATTATAGATAAGATATATATATATGTGTGTGATGTGGAAAGCAAATAGTCCTCTTGTCGGGAATTTTCGATTTTGAGTTTTCTTTATATTTTCATTCCTTATTAAATTCCGAATCAATTGGTGCAAGTCCCACACATGTATGATTTTTTTTTTTTTTAAAGTTATAGGACTTTGAAATTTTGTTTTAGAAAAGGGTCATTTTGAGAAAAACTGTTTTGAAAATTTCAAATATGCATAAAAACGGTGTTTTCCATATTTAAGAAACGATTTTGGTATCAAAAGAAAGCTTATAATGTCCTCTTTGGAAGCAATACAAATTGTTGTCTTAACTCACAGTAACTTTCATTTGAATAATTGTTTTACTGCAGCATGTCGTAAAAATCACAATTCAGAAAAGGGACCTCTTGTCGGCCCTATGTTATTTCTCCATAAGATAAGAAAAGGTACCTCTTGTCGGGACCACAAAATTTGTGAGTTATTTTGTTCTCCGTGAACTGAACTTTTATGTAGTTCTCTAAATTTCCACTAGAATGTAGGACAATTTATTTTTTGGAATAAAATCTGTTTAAAAAGTGAATATTAGAAATGGGACCTCTTATCGTTATGGTGAAATAACATTGAGCCACAAGAGGTACCTTTTCTCAGACTGTACAGAGGCTAACAAAATGATTTATTTCAACCTTTTGCATCTTCAATTCGATATTTTAACCGATACTGTAATTTTCTATGTTAAATTAGGTATAACAATCGATAAAACCCCAAAATTCGACATTTTCTACCTTAATTACTTATATCGGCTGTACTGAAAATTTTGCATCTCCGACAAGAGGTCCCTTTTCGCTTTCCACATCACATATATATATATATATATATATATAGATAGATATAGATAATTATGGGAAACAGTACAAATATTTAAATGTGCCACAGTGATTGGCATGTGTCAACATCTGGGATAAAAGTAGATTGTTATCTGAAAAGCTAAAATATCCCCAGGTGCAGAAAATCTGCAGACTAAGTGAATTTTCATGTACCTGGCTGGATTTTCACAAAAAAAATTCCTTGAAATTTACAGATTTATTTTATATTAAAACTAACTGTAGCCGCGGGCTTTGCCTCGTTTAACTTCATAAGTATTCGCATGGCTCAATCGAGTCCTGGTTGAAGTTCGTTCGCTACGCTCACTCACCTTTAGATTGGAGCTCGTTCGCTGCACTCACTTACCTTCAGGTGAGCTCGTTCGCTACGCTAACTCGCCTCCACGCTCGCTGTTAAGATTCATTAATTCCATTTAAATATGAAAAATCATAAGGTTAACATGGGAAACTCCAGAGCCACTGGGGCGGAGCCCGAAAGCCCGTCCAGAATAAAAACTACTTAGTTTTCCTATTTAATGCCCAAAGAATCGGTGTACCGAATTTCTATTCAGCCTCCTAGGTAAATGGGAAGTGGGAGAATTAGTGATGAGTGAGTGAGTGAGTGAGTCAGTGAGGGCTTTGCCATTTATATATTTAGATTACAATAATTTTAATGAAAGCTTCGCAATGAAATAACAAAGTGTGTTTTTAATTAAATGTTTATGTTAATGAAATCGATCGACACCTTAATCTTTAAGATCGGACGAGTATTAACTGAGTTATGGCAGTTTTAGTGATACGTGACCGCTTTCAGCATGCGCTGCAACTAATATCCGGCGGTCACGTATCACTAAAACTGCCATAACTCAGTTAATACTCGTCCGATCTTAAAGATTAAGGTGTCGATCGATTTGTAATAAAATTGCCTTAAAAAAGTTATTCTTGTAAAATTTTTGTAAAATCAACGGTTTTCGAGTAATTTAAGAAACAAAATTTTAAACAGCCGCCATTTTGTTTTATGAATTTGAAAAATCGTCATAATTTTTTTGTCGTTTTGTCTAGTTGTCATAAATGTTTGTGCAAAGTTTCAACTTCGTATGTTTAACCAATTTTCAGAAAAAAATTAATAAGTGAAAAAAACAAAATGGCGGCTATCTGAGTAACTAAGGACTTCCGGACAATTTAAATATGATATTTAGATATGTTTCTTACCCAGGAACAATGCCCTAAAATATTGGTAGTGAGTTCCGGGACACCCTGTATATAACTCGACAATTTGTGGACACGTAGGTTGTTATGTTTGGGGGTCGTCAAGTTATCCAGAATCTTGAAATTTTTAATAAGCTTTAATAAATGAATATTCAGGTCCTAACAGACTAGTTTTTACATTTAAATTATTACTAACGTAAGTATTTTTACGTATTGAGTAAACAATCTTCAAAGAAATGTCAAATATTTAACAATTAAAACTTTATGTTCTGAAAAAAAATTCTTTTTTTGTGGGTACCCTGTCAGCTGTTGACTGTTGAGTTACCAGTTCTCGGGTTAGTGAGGTTTTACTGTGATATTAAAGAAAATCACTTTACATCATACTACACCAGGGCTTGTAACAGGTTATTTTTCATTTTTGCTCTTGGTTATTTTTTGTTCATTTGGTTATTTTTTTCGGGGGATTGGGTTTTTATTGATCCAATTTTGATGAAGCTTGTAAAACTTTTAAAACTCATAACATGCCCCCGAATGAAGAGGAGTAGGATTCGTAACATAAACTAAAATTAATTTCAATTTTTTAATTATTATTGCCTGATCACTTACCTAGTTCAAAATCCATTTTTTTTCTTCCTACATATTTTTAATATTCCAATAAAACTACGGTTTTTGGACTTTTTAGTGACATTTTGGGTTTATTGAAGGTTATTTTTTGGTAATTTTTTTGATAATTTTGATTATTTTTTTACCTCAAGAAATGTTACAAGCCCTGTACACAGAAACAGGTACTTTTCCATATGTATTGATAGGCTGGAAATTTGCCCTTTACCATGCCTAAACACGGAATAGTAATGTTATGTACTTTTACCAAGCACTTAGTCAGCTGATGAAATAAACAGCTAACTGCAATGGCCTATTTTATTTTCTGCAATATAAAAATATTATAATTTATGTTACTTCCTAGATAAAATGTGTTATGCGTTTAAAATGTACTATTATTCTGTTTATAATGATGTAAAGTATGATACGTTACTCGCCCGGTAAGCTTTAACTTACTCGCACAAAAATCCCCACGGTAAAACACCACTTACCGGACTAGTAACGTAATATACTATTTCACCATTGGGCTCCCTACTCCCGAGTGACAGTAATAAAGAACCAGCCACTGTATCGGCTAAGGACAGTTTATTTTAATTTATTAAAATTAGGGGTGTATGATTTTGGCAACCCTTGTCTATAGGCTACAATTATGATATAATTATTTATTGGTGGTTGCTACTAAGTTATTTTTAAGGAAAGTGGAAGTATATTGTTATATTCAGACCAATGTTACAAAACTTCACAATAGTTATCAATAGGCTTGAAATCCATGTGTATTATGTAGTTTCGGGTACTATTGCAATGTGTGAAATATGCCTGGGATTGTTAAAATTCATTTCCATTCTATTGTATTGTCATCAGTTTTACCACTACCCTAGAACAATGTGAACACAATTTCTATATTTATATTTCATCCTCCAATTATGTATGGTGTTGTGATACATTTGTGTCTGATAAACTTGCACAATGTTTTTGTAAGGTAATTAAGTAAATTATTTATAAAAAAAATTAAAATTTTGCCTAAGTTTCTTGAATCTCAAATTTGATTTATGTCATGGGCGTCCATCAATATGGGCAAGCCTTCCCCCCCCCCCCCCCCCATAAGACCCTACGTTTATCGAATTTTTACAAATTTTCAAAATAATACAGAAAACTCCCATAAATGTACAATACATAGAGTAAATTTAATAAAAAAAATTTGGTAAATCAATTATTTTTTCCGGGGAGGATCCTCTAAACCCCCATTTTTACTGGGGGTTATGCCATACTGTCAAGTCACCCCAACCCCCCCCCCCTTATGGAACAGTTAGATGGATGCCCATGATTTATGTATACCTAAACCACTACAATTTGTAATTTGTTTTAAAACGTTAAAACAATGTAAATAAAGATGTTTCAATGTACTGCAATGTGACATTTATTTCATGTATTACCCTTGTTACCTGTTTCCATGTTCCAGTATGTTGACGTGCGAATAGTCACTTCGTATTATAATTTTCACTGTAAAAAGCACATTTGAATCATTATTGGAATCAATACGGTAATTGGACAGTATCCTATCTCGACCAGTTCTAATACGAGCAGTGTCTGTATGTCTGTCTGTAATATATATCTGGAAAACCAGCGCGGAATGATTTTGATTAAATCTTGGGATTAGGGACTTATAGCCCTAAAACGTGATTGGCGACAGCCACTACCTCAGGAAAATTCGTGTTTCACTACACAACTCGTTTGAAAATGTAAAAATTTAACATTGGCCTTATGGGTTGCTAAGTAACTTTGTTGGTTGAATAAAATAACAAGAAAAAAGTAAACAAAACAATTATATAGTGTTAAGGCCAATCAATATTTAATGACCTATCAATTATATATAATCATCCCCGATGCTCAATTTTTATTTCAGTTGCTGCGGATTTTTAATACGGACAAAATTAGAGCATTCTATTGGCTGAGGGAACACCATTACCACAACGATACGTAAAGGCAACAAACGGTGTTTGTGGTGTGATCAAGGGCGGTCCCAGTATATATTTTTTATATATATAAACTATTATACCAGGGGAACTTTAATAATTTTTATTGCAAATCGTTCTGCCAAATTAAAATTCATTGTAGTCTTTACACTTGTGGCGAACGAAAGGACTAATTACAAAATCTAACCTAAAACTCATCGTTTGAGTCTGACTGTTTTTTGTAAGGGCCCTAGAAATGTACTAACAAGCTATAGGCCGGTGTCCCTGATACCTGTGCTAGGCAAGATATTTGAAGCCTTAATGTTAAGGCAGAGAAGTGATCACTTTGAAACCCATAACTTACTGAACAATTTTATTGGTAAATCAAGTTGATTTGGAGAATCGAGGAATTCCAAAATTTCTTGCTCAACATTTGAATTTGTATTATATGGCTTGAACACTTCCTTGAAGTATGAAGCAAATACATCTGCTTTCTCGGTGTTGTTTTTGGCCCAAGAACTGTCTTCTTTTAGAATAGGTGGAATGCAAATTTGTGGACGTTTTAAGTTTTTTGTAACTTTCCAAAGGGAGTAGTCACTAGCTTTAGATGGAGAAAGGTTTGATGTGAAATCTTGAAATCTGTCATTGTTTAACTTAAACAGTAACCTTTTTAGTTGTTGAGTGGCCCTGTTTAGATTTCTTTTATCCGTCTGGTCTCTAGAGTTTTGCCATATTCTACAGAGTCAGCGTTTTTCGGCAATTTTCCTACGGTATTAATTTCAATTGGATAGTGTATTCCTGATTTTAAATTATGTTTATTCTGGTCTGGAGTTGCTCTCCAAGCGGAGTCTTGAACTGTTTTGTTGAAATGTTCAACAGCAAGATTCAAATCTTCTTCGCTCTTCAAACACACAGAAATCTTTAAATTTTGATCCATTAATTCACGAAAATAATTCCAATCTGTATTTTTGTTGCATAAATGTGGTGGAATAGGTTTGAATATAACATTTGAAGCGATCGTTAAAATTACAGGTGAGTGGTCTGAGGAAAGGTCCAGAGATTGCTCGATTGTCACAAAATCTCGGGATACACCTTTTGTAACAAAAAATCAAGAAGGTCTGGTATTTTTTGACGATCAGAGGGCCAATATGTCGGTTCACCTGTCGATAGAGTATCAAGGTTCCGTTCTTGGATTGACTGCAATAGTTGTCGACCCCTAGGAGTTGCCAGACGGGAGCCCCATGTAGGATGTTTGACATTGTAGTCTCCTCCTGACAAAAATGTACAGCCTAATAAAGTGCA